AAAAAAAAAAAAAATTTTTTGTATGAAAATTATAATATTATTAAATTGTGATTTATTTTTTCTTTTTGTTTACTTGTTTCATCCGGTTTTGGACTAATTACAGATTGATTATCGGAGATGTTAGGTAAATCATCATCGATGGATGTAGGTGGTGAAGCCTAAAATATAGAATTAAATATAAATTGTTTGTTTTTGTTATGATTGTATTTTGTCAATCAAAATTTCCTTGAAACTAAATTGCATATCAATAGAAGAAGAATAACAAAAAATAAACAAATCATACTGTCATTACTCTTTTTTCTTTTATTAACGACACAAAATTTCTATGTTTCTAATTATAGAACGAAATTAAAAAATTCGTATAGCAAATCAATCGTTTTAAACATTCTATTTTATTTTCGAATATTTGTAAGTCTTCTATTCATTGTTGAAATTATTAACTTTTTCGATATATGTTAAATATCTTGTGATTTGATTTCTCCATGGATTCCAAAAACATTATCAAATTAAACTATATTAGTTGTCAAAATTATCTAAACATGAAATCTTCAACCTCATGTGTTGATGATAAAATAAATTATGATTAACCTTGATCACAAGTAATAATCAAGACTTGATCAGCCTTCATAGAGTGAAGCTCGAAGGTCAACATAGATTTTTTTAATTTAGATTAAAAATATTTCAGCATTAGTAAAAACTCTTCAAATATTTTACTTCGATTCGACAACTCAATTCATACATTAAAAATTTAATATCAAACGATAGTTATTTTCTTGATTTATGAAGTTATCTTTGGGTCTTCTCTTACGAGGACAGTATCTGAATTGATACCGGCCGTTTGTGTTCATATTAGGTTAATAAGAAAGTTTCGGAGAGACTAGAAAAAGTATTTAGTGAAAAAAAAATCAAATAAGGACATAGATCTGATGAGACTAGGAATATTCTGTAATTCTCAGCTATAAAGAATGTCCTTCTGTCGAGATATTGAATTTTCAAGTTTTTTTTTTAGTAAACGATCATTTATTGGAAATTCAAGGAACATTCTTTTCAGCTGAAACTTTTAGGATATCTCCAGAGTAAACAGCTCTATCTATATGCAAATATCAGATAGGAATGTCCTTATTTAATTTTTCAGTAAATATTTAAAGCGAGATTGAAAATTCAGTAAAACATTACAAGTCGGCTCTAGAGTAGTGGCGGAGCCAGAAAAATTTTTTAGAGGGGGCTGAGCCCCCTCTAGCTACAGTTTTGAGGCTGAAAATAAGTATGCTCTTCCATCTTAATGCTAGATCGTT